CGCGTACAGATGACACCGTACCCCGAAACTCCGGATGATCTCCCCCAGCGGCTTCATGCAGATGTTAAACAATATGGGAAACAATATTGAGCCCTGAGGAACCCCACAAGACAATGGTTGTGGGGGTGAACAGGTGTCCCCCAACACCTTCTGAGATCGACCCTCTAGGAATGACCGGAGCCACTGCAGAACAGTACCTCCAAGACCCATCCCCGCGAGGCGTCCCAGAAGAATACCATGGTCGACGGTATCGAAGGCCGCTGAGAGGTCAAGCAGCACCAACAGGGACACATTCCCCCTGTCGAGCTCCCGGCGCAGATCATCCACCAAGGCGTCCAAGGCTGTCTCGGTACCATGTCCCGGCCTAAAGCCAGACTGTGCCGGGTCTAGATAATCTGTGTCTACCAAGAATACCTGGAGTTGTGAGGCCACCACACATTCCAAGACTTTGCCCAAGAAGGGGAGATTGGAAACTGGCCGATAGTTGTCGAATTTAGTGGGGTCCAGTGATGGTTTCTTCAACAGCGGTTTTATTATAGCTTGTTTTAAGCTCGCTGGAATCTTGCCTTCCCGAAGGGAAGCATTAACTACCACCTTAACCCACTCAGCCAATCCCCCTCTGGCCTCCTTTAGAAGCCAGGATGGGCAGGGGTCCAGGATGCATGTGGTTGGCCTCATTCCTCCAAGTATCTTGTCCACATCCTCGGGTTTCACCAATTGAAATGAATCCATCAAAACTGGACAAGCAGGTGCTCGTGTTACATCCTCAGAGACTGCCATTAACATGGTATCCAGACCAGAACGGATCAAAGCGACTTTGTCTGCAAAGAACTGAGCAAAAGCTTCACTGCAAGAAGTTGAATCGTCAGGGTTCCCACCTTGAGCGGAGGGATTTAAAAGGCCTCTGACAATTCGGAACAGCTCAGCCAGACGATTCTTTGCAGACACAATAGTGGCCGCAAAGAAGGCCTTCTTTGCGGCTTTTATTGCCACGGCATATGCCCTTAAAAAGGACACAAACCGTGTTCGATTTGGCTCACTCGGATCCGAACGCCACACACTCTCTAGTTCCCTCTTCCTTCGCTTCATTGCTGCCAGCTCCTCGGTGAACCATGTTCGGTGAACCATGTTCAGATGGAATCTCCTCTTTTGTAGTTTGAAGCCATTGTTCCATTGTGTCCTAGTCTCCAGGGAAGCAGAAAACAAGCTTGCTCTCTCCTCTTCCCTGTGGCTTCCTCTCACATATGTATACATGGCTCTCATCATATCTCCTTTCAGCCTTCTCTTCTTCAGGCTAAACATGCCCAGCTCCTTAAGCCGCTCCTCATAGGGCTTGTTCTCCAGACCCTTGATCATTTTAGTCGCCCTCCTCTGGACACATTCCAGCTGTCTTTGGATGTCAAAGTGTAATAAGAAATTGAATGTGCAAATTTGATAAATGTGAATTTAATATGATGTGTGGGAATGAATGGAAGGATGTATGAATGGAGTGAATGATTTTGGAGACATCAGTAAAATATGAAGGCCTGCAATCACTAACTACCTGCTTGCTGGATTTGCTAATGAGAAACCCTGGTAAGAACTGGGAGAGCGATAAAGGAAATGTTTGCAACCTTCCTTATGTTGAGAAGGAAGTCAACACAAGCCTTGTGTTTGTTAACACCAATCAAAAAGATCAACACTGAGATGGAAGCCAGGACGGAAGACGTCTATCATTAATTTACAACTTTGGGACGACATCGATAGAATATGCCTATAAAAGGCTCAGCCTAATAATGCTCAAAGTGTGACAGACAGAGACACTGTTCACCCGCCATGCTCTGCTCCATGGGAAGGACAGGAATGGTGTATTCGGAGAGTGGCAGATCTGCACAGGAGCAGTCTGGTCACTTTGGGGCTTCTCTCTCAAGGGAAGAGGAAGAAGGAAGGCGCTTTTGGAGTCTTAGATTTTGTGCAGGGAGTCAGGTCCTGTTGTATGGAAAACAGAGATCTGGTCCTTGGCATTGTTCTTAGGGAAGAAGCTTTGGCATTTTGAAGTTATGGCGTTATGGAAGTATGCGTTGGCAGGCTGCAGGAAATCAGGGTCTGGCCTAAGAGGTGCTCCTCCAAGGAGGGAGAAAAGGATATGGTAATATTTGGATGCATGTGGATGAATGCGTGTACATGTGGGTGTGAGTGTTGAGTGAAAATGCAACTCCCCTTTGTTTGTTTGTTAACCAATGTAATTGT